AAATAAACAAAAAATGCAGCATTTAATATTAGGCCTATATAAGATTTTTTTAATTAACATATGATAAATCTAAAATCTTTTCAGGTAAAATCTTACTAAAAAATTTCCTGAGTGACCGCACTTCATAAAAATGTTTTCTACATTTACTGAAGCTGCCATGACATCTTTGCTTGCTTCTACAAACCTCTGAGCTCTTTTATCATGACTTGTGTTTTCACGGGACACATACTTATGCTCTCTGCGTCACAAGTGCCATGCTTTACCAGGTGAGCTACTGAGCCAGTTTACTAGTTAGTGGGGAATGAGTAACTGGAATACATAAGCACTTCTTGGATAGTTTACAGGAGTGAAATTGCCTATTGATGCCATCTTTGGCACATCAATCTTAATTTTCAACAATATTCGATATCCTGTAATTTTATATAAATTATTCAATAATCAAAATAATTGAATATTCAATATATTGCCCAGCCCTACACTGGTGGAAATGCCAGTGAATTGTATATGTATAGGGATGTTTTTGGAGTTTTGCAAAAATGTAGATAGAGGCACATTTTTCCAATGAGCCTAGGTTGGAAACAAACTGAGTACACCAAGTTAGACCAATGAAAGTTTTTTTTTAGGGTTCAGATAGTGCCATAAAGTAATAAGTATCCATTTCTAATGTCAAATGTACATATTTTCAGGGAATAGACCACCAATTACCCAAATCCAAAATGACAATGTAATTACAGCTATTGCCTCTGGTATAGCCTGCCCTGGTTGACTTGATTCTGGGATAAAAAAAACGGGGTCACATGCCAAGACAGGAGCTTCTACACCTGAAACTTGCTCACCAAGACAGAAACAAAGCATTACTGTGTATATGGAATGAAGAATGCAAGGACTTTAGTGAAAACAAACAACCTCTACATGTGGATGACCCAACAAAGGAGAACGGAACCCTCCGGGCAGGTAATAGGTAGTAGCCCCACAAACAACTACAGAAAAAAGGCAAATGTTCGGCAGATAATGCTATAGCAGAACGTAAGCTTCTCTGCATCACTTGCATAAAATATTATTCTATTTGATACATTAACCATTCAAAAAGTCCTCACATTAGCACCTGCCTCTTATATAATCTATTAATTTATATATATGGTTTACTTGGTACACATGATAAACACACACATTTTAAACAAATATTTATGTATCTCAGTTTGTAACTGTGACGTCTGCACACTGACAGATGTTGTGCTTTATATAACCTTAAACTGGCATAAAAACAGTTACAAAAACCCAATGTGGTGCGAGCGTGGCCAACTACTTCTGCTTTTGATACTTTCACTTTCTGCACTGTACAACACCTACAACATTGATAGGATCTTATATTATTACGGCACTTCCTCATCAACTCCTTGAATTAATAGTTTACATCCTTTTGATATAGTATACCAAATGACCCAAAGTTTATTTCCAGCGGTCTGCCAGTATCCACATCTAATGCAACAACATTTGTTTGAATTAGAGCTTGTCACAATTTAGCACTCATGGTAATTATGCAAATTCAGTTATACCAAGATGATGAAACTCAAACATAATTTGTGTTGATCTCAGCCATGATGGATTATTCATGAGAAACTACTGCATCTCTGGGATTATGGGCTTGTCTGTTCTTTTCACTGACATCTAACAAAAGTGATCTCCTTGCGAATTTCCATCTTTGAATGGTTTGTTGTATCAAATATCAGGGTTATCTGGCATATTAGATATTAGAGCTACCCTGTTTTCAGTTAAGAAAATACAAAAACACAAAAATGACAAAGAAAGGGTGCAAACAAATGAGGCCACGTGACGTCTATATTACATAGAAACATCGATCCTTCAGTGAAAGACATTGAGTGCAGGTTGCAGCTCTACAAACAGGAAATGTGCTACTTCCTGTAGAAGGCAAGGTGCAATGATTTTTCATAGAGAGGCTGCCAGCTAATTTCCTGCTTATAAAGCAAGGCACCTCCTCTAAGAACAAGAGTGACATTTGCAAACCAGTTCAAACAGAAGATGACAAGGAACTCCCCATTTTTAATTCAGAACACCTAAATGGGTTACATTTTTGCTGTGGCAAACGACTGCACATGGAAATAAACATTCAATCTAGTGCAGTGTTACAAAAATCAAAGTGAAAATTTTAGGATTGCCAAATACATGTACATGCATTAAGAGTTTGTGTTTGGTGTTGGAATTACTATTAAGACATGAAAACAAATCAATAAATAATATGATACAACCAACCACTTTTAACCAACAGTAATTGAAACTCCAAGGCCTTATTTAAAAGCAACGATTGAAAAGACAAGATCCACCATTCTGCTTGCATAACTCTTTCCAGGACCTTCTTATCAGTACTGGTACTGCTTCAGTGAGCCTAAAGTGCTTTCCTGGACAACTCATTTTTAATTAGCATATTTATCATAAAATTTGCATGACTATAGGGAGCAAATTTTATAGGGAGGGCTCGTTTTTACCAAGGTCTAGTAGCTTTGCAGGTATTACTCATCTAAATGGCCTCGAGCTAAAACTTCAGTTTGGTATCACATCTGACTTCATTGTGAAATGAGGTTGCAAGTCCCATTTTGTCTGTCTCTCATCTAAATCTGGTGGAGAAGTCTTAAATATGTTGGCAGAGTTAAGGGTTTGTATAGTAAACAGGTCAATAGATTGAAAAGACTGCCCTTTCAAGAATTAGAACAATGGTGTTCTTCTCATGTTTTCTTTTACCAGACAATATTGTGCATTAGACACAAGACTTGAGTAAGATGCCCACTTGACGTCAAGCTTTCACAGACTAACCCAAATCCACTGCTAACTGAAAGTACCATGAACTTCCGCTAGCAGAATGTAGTGTAGAGACAAACATTCATTCAGTAAACAAACGTCAGCTTTTCTTGTACGGTCTTGTAATGTCAACTTAAGACCAGCAAGTAAATGACATTCTACTACAAATAAATCAAAAATATTTCAACTTGACACCAAACCTCATCTATCAAATATTCACAGCTTTCAAGCAAATCCTTACACAAATATGCCCCAAAAGTGTGACCCCTGGAGAGTGACATGTAAATAAAACAACCACACTTGAACACACTGGCATTCATAATCAACAGAGCGATGAGCATAAACTTTAATTTCCATCAGCTGGATTCAGATTCACAGGGTAAAAACGGCATTGTGAGCGAGAGAGAGAGAGAGAAAGAAAGAAAGAAAAGTACATGACTTTATCTTCTCCAAAAGACAGTTTCAGATTGCTCTGGGTTGTTTACTAGCATACAATAATGAGTTTATTCTTTTTTATGTGAGGAACACAGCAGCTAAAAATGGCTGCCTATTCATCACTGTAAAAGTGATTAGTCAATGTCTAATATGTCAATGACAGTGTTCAAGCTAATTAATTATATGTAAATACATTATATTGTTAAATACAGTGCAGCTAGAGACTGCTTATGCTTAAGGTGGTACATATTTATCAATGCACAGGAATTCATAATCACTGCTGACCACAACAGAAGTGAGCAATGACAATGAAGAAGAGGTTATTGTCCTCATTGATGGGGTATAATGTAGGGATGCACCGATATGAAAATTTTGGCCGATACCGATAACCGATTATTCTTTATTTTTGAAAGCCGATAACCGATATGTTGGCCGATAAATCTATATCCAAATTGTTATATACTTTTTGAGAGCCTGATTACAAAAAAGGTCTCATCATTAAAAGCCACATCCCAAACACTTCAACATAAGCAGCCTAGTTTGAACGGTGTACGTTTTAAAAATATTTTTACGCTCCCATTACCAAATTTAGTCATAAAAAAGCCTTACAAATAAATAAAATTATGCATAAATAATGCAAACAAGTCACTGGACATCATTACACGTGTAAAGAATCAAAATGAATGCGCCACAGATCAATAAAACAGAATAGCCTCTGCACGGACAATAATTAAATGATTTTAATTACTAAACCATATTGTTGATGAAAATAATAAGAGAACAATACAAGTGGTTGTTGTTATTAATAATGTATCAATGATTTTGAAAAAGTAACAAATTAATACCACTGTTTTAAATAGCAGCCGTTGAGCTGCGCGTGCTGAAGCTGAAGAGCTGAATGAACATGGTAAACTGAAGCGTTTTGCTGGCAGCTTATTTAACTCAAGGAAATGCATCCTGAGATTAATATTAATACAACATAAACATAATATTACAACTTATATATGTACAAAATGACGCAGTTATTGCATGCTATAGTCAGAATGTGTGATCCTGTTGTGGATGCGCTCTTCCCATAACAACGCGCTGAAACACGGCAACTAAACCCAAAGAATTCCCAACGTTTTATTATAATAATGTTCTCATTAGAATTTTATATACACGACATTCCCAATCATAGTTATTAATGTTGTGCACTGCTGTTTGAGCTGCGTGTGCTGAGCTAAAGATGATCACTGGTAAACTGAAGCGCTCTTTTAACTTAACCAAACGCATTCTATATGAGATAAATCAGATATACATCAAATAAACACAATATTACAATGTACAATTGCACAAAAGGCTGCAAACGAACAGCGCGCATCTGAAGTGTCTCTGAAGGAAATAATGCATTATTTATCGGCTTTAAGATATCGGCCAAATTTTCTTATCAGGCCGATACCGATAACAGAAAAAATGAGCCGATATGGGCCGATACCGATATGGTGGCCGATATATCGTGCATCCCTAGTATAATGTGAAGAGAGCACACACATGAACCTCAATCCAATTAAAGCCTTGCACATCATGACTAAAACACCTATTACGCCATCATTGTTTTATAGTTTCATAGTTCACAGTTTTGTCATTGTTTGCTTTCTTCAGTGGAGCGCAACTGAGATGTTAGTCAGGATGGCAGCTTCACTCTCCTTTGACTTTCATTCCATCTTTTTCCAAAAATAAAAGTGAATGGATGTGTCATTCCGCCTGGCAGCATCTTTAGTTTTCCACAGAAGCAAGAAAGGTTTTGAACAACATGAGGCTGATAAAATGATGATGAAATGTTCATTTTTGTGAACCGAACACTGACAAATATACTTATAGTTAATAACTCAAAACATAAACACAGCATTGGTGTGGGTGTACAGCAACTGTTTACATTCAGAGTATAGCTGGCTCTATGATATCTACCTTTTAGGTCCTTTTGAGTAGGTGAAGGTGAACGTGGAGTCGGAGAATCGAAAGTCTGAAACAAACAGACAATCAAACTTGGGGTTTTTGAACAATATAACACACTGGACCACAAAAAACGTCCCTTTCAACAAGTGTAGTCTCCATGGCAACATCAATAGGGACTGTCCACCGACAATGAATATAGGAGAATTGAATTGATAGCTGATAAATGTGTGACGCTCAACAATAGTAAGGCGTGGGCTAACTTCATTGAAAAATCATTCACATCACAAAACAACACCTGAGAGGAATGTTAATGCCTTTATTAGGATGATAAGAGCAGAATATGTGGTAGTAATAATAATAAAGGCAGTTTACGTTTTGCTAGGCCCTCAGTTGCAGTTGATTATTGAATAATTTATAATGTCCAGGAAAGATTCAATTGCCTACGCTGGAGCACATTAGCCACATACGGGTTTTGAACAAATCGGGCTTTTGTGTGGAGGAGGAAATAAAGGCATCAGCAGTGAGACTGACAGCCTGTCAGTTGTGTTGATTAAATCCATGGCAATTGTTAAAGGAAGACAGCTCTCTTAATAAGAAGAGACAATGGAAACTCACCAGAAAACAGGCAGTCTTTCTCTGCCTTACACCTTTGAATTACGATGTCGACGTCTTTTTGAATCCTCTCTTGCCTTGAACACATCCCCATGAAATAACACACACTAGAATGGCTTCTCTAACTAATATTCAGCGAAACAAACGAATCCTTTCCGCTTGCAGGCACGATGGACGTGGGGAACAGTAGGAATACGTGCTTGGAGGTCTGCTGTAACAATCCCAGGTGTGTCACGCCAACCGACACCGTTTCATCTCCTCTAACAATAGCCTCGATCGCATGAGCACAGCGGAGAGCTCTTCCTCGCGACAGCTTTCATGAAGATATCACTTTTACACCGGAAGCATCTCGCAGTCGTCCTCATAACGCTTCTGCTGAACCCAACAATGGCGATGTCGAAAGCTAAACCACAGAGCGAAAAAAAAGATACCGCATGTAAAGCCAACGCGGCGGGCGTGAGCTTCAGACCGTAACGGAGGAGCTGAAGAAGTTGCACACGGGGGAAATCAGTGTGGGAATCCTGTGATAGCGTCCACGAGATGAGCCCGGTGGGAACGGGAATCACAACAAGGCGGATGATGTCATGGACGTGTTTTCTCCCCACGCGCCCTCTCTGCTGCTGGACCTGCTCGGTATCACTGGCCTCTGATTGGCATGGAACAAAAAGCGAATATATTCAGCTTATCGTTGCTGATTTTTAATTAAGCAGTATCACAACATGAACATTGTCATTTAGATTACATAAAGACAAAGCACATCAGGTACGCTGATATTAGAACAACGGCAACATGCGAGTTTGTTACAACACAAATAAAGTTGTGCTTCAGACTTTGTGTCACCCATCAAACCACAAACTAAAAGCCGGTCTGGACTATCGGTGTAAATCAGGGGTGTCCGGTTTAGCTCCAACCCCAATTAAACACACCTGAACCAGATAATCAAGCTCTCACTAGGCATACTAGAAACTTAAAGGCAGGTGTGTTGAGGCAAGTTGGAGCTAAACTCTGCAGGACACCAGCCCTCCAGGACCGAGTTTGGGCACCCCTGGTGTAAATGAAGCAGTCTGTTGTAATCAATCAGCTGGTGCTCCACTCCAGGTTTTGCATTTCACACCCTCCTCACACTAATGAGAGAAACCCTACTCCGAGAGACTCCAGCAAAACCCATGGTGAGCGTTGTTTACACTTGTATTCTATGTAGCTACTAGCTAGCTATTGTTCTGTTGTAATGCTGTATTAAAAAACAGCGACCTAACAAATTCACTGAACATCGTACCTTTGGGGATTCAAAGCGAGAATATCCTAACTCTGGTAATACAAAATATTCACAGCTTTATTCTTAAATTAAAAAAAATGAAAATAGGGAGAAAATGGCAGTTAAGAATTTTTTTTTTTAGTGTTGTTTCATGCATCTGCTCCCTGATTTTCCAAAATGTTTGCACTGCTTCCACTCTGCACTGCAACAGTCTGACAGGTGGTGTCATGCTAGGGATTGTTAAAGGACATGACAACCTTGGCATTTGTATCGTTGGAGAAAGCCTTGAGATGTCAACTTGGATCACAATCATATAATGGCATTGATTCCATTGACTGCTTTCAGAGCTTAACAGTTTGCAGATTCCATATCTGATCAGAAAAAAAACAGTGTGACCTCTTATATAAAACAGCTTTATTTAATAACAAATCACTCCAAAATAGATGCCATGTTGAATATTAGCAGACAGGCAGTCAGTCAATTTATTATGCGACAAGCTGTTTCCACAGTGTTCACGATGAATCCACCTCAAACGCGTTGTTTTAACATTGCGTTTTGTCTGCAGAGCGACAAAGCATTTACCCACTAAACTGTATGTGGAATGGGTCATGCAATCAATAGGAACACCTCGCAACACACTTCATCACCCTTCTCTCACTGCTTGCACCCATCATTCTTCTCACATTGACATTATGAACGCTGAACAGTTTCATTCCAGTCTACAATTTTCACACATCTTCTCTCACAAGAATAAATGTGTATCATAACACTAGCAAAATGGTTTTTGAATTAGCATGATTTTTGCACATATATATTTGATGTATTGTAGAAATAGCTTAACATGGGAAATGAATATGATAATGCGTTTCTAATCGCTGTACCATAGTACTTCTTGGGCAAGGCAAACAGCAGACTAACATTGATTTGTTGTTTTTATTCATCATTGATCACAGCTGATTGTTGAAAATAACAACCATAATGATATTTTTATTTAGTTGTTCTAAATTAGCATCAAACATTTGCAAGAATGAAACTGAGACTGTGTTCACACCAGAGAGGAAAAGCTGTAGAGGGGCACGGTTTAGGCCACAGTAGCCTGTCCAGCCTGAAGATGGATGGCTGTGTTAGTGGCACTTTGATTAACAGCTCCATCCTGACTTTGGCTGGTGGCTCACCAGTCTGGAGCTGCTCCAAGGAGACCCCACTAGCCCAGCTGTGCTGAAGCAGGCAAGGCCTCGGCTGATGACTGCAGTGGCAGGAAAATCCATCTTCCTGCACTGAGCCTCGAATGTATTTCCCCCTTCTACGTACACTGTGTGATTGAGGATTTAGTGCATGTTCTGATGAATACACTCACAAACACACTCATCATTTTCTCTTTCACCTAAATGGCACCTCATCTCGATGCAATGTTACAGGCAAGGCCTCGGCTGATGACTGCAGTGGCAGGAAATCCATCTTCCTGCACTGAGCCTCGAATGTATTTCCCCCTTCTACGTACACTGTGTGATTGAGGATTTAGTGCATGTTCTGATGAATACACTCACAAACACACTCATCATTTTCTCTTTCACCTAAATGGCACCTCATCTCGATGCAATGTTGATGGAATCAACGCTGCTGATGTGCAATACAGAACTTCGCTAATGTTTCTTCTCCGTGCCACCATCAACACATCATTCAGTGCTCCTTTCGATGATTTCACCATTATGAGGGTGATAAAAAAGCCCTGGTGAATTTCAATGCAGCATATTTTGGAGGGGAATTCTACTGATAGACCCCTTCAGGAAATAAACACATACGAGACAAGTGTATGTATTTACTGCCAGCTGGCTAAAGATAAGAGGAGAATTTGACAAAAGAGAGCAAAAATTAACAATATAAGCAGGTAGACAGAGGAGAGCAGCATTTCCTGTTTTTGTGGGGTGTCCCACATCATTTGAGTTGACTCCATGCTGGACTTAATTCATTAATCCTATTTTCATAGGAAGTCAAACAGTTGATCACTGATGAGCGTAGGCCTACATATGCACTCTGGCACTCTTTATTAGGTCTGCATGCTAGATAAAGTGTGTTTAAGAGGCTGGATACATCCAATTTACCAGTAATCTATAAAAGTTGTGATATTAATAAATACGTTTTTTTAATATCACTCAAAGCACAAGCATTCAGCATAACATATAATGAATATCTACTTATTCTGTGCAGGGTTTCACAAAACTGCAAAGTATGATTTTTCATTAAGCGCACATATGTGAATAAGCATATACTATGTGGAAACATGGAATTGGAGAATTTTCATATTCCATAGCTTCCATATTTTAATAAGTTTTTCAGCAGTTGAGCTCTCTTTTCACTCAATAAACAAGTAGAACTTCCACTTCCACTGCATGAGTTTAAGTCCCCCAAAAAAGAGCACATAGAATATGATAAGAAAATGGTTATAATTAGTGCTGGGCATTGACGCACATTTAAAAACTATTTTAAATGAAGTTTCTACTCCAAATAATTTTCTGAAATATAAACATTTAAACAGTGGTTGTGATGATAACTTGTTTTCATGACATTTGTTCGAACATTAAATGCTGAAAAACGGATTACATAAGACATGATAAATTTCATTAAGTTGTACTGTATCGCTCAACATACTTTATGATGCTTACTCACGTTTATTTCATGTTATAACTAGCAGTAAAGAGGAAGATCGATGCTTGTAATCTAGCTTGTAAGCCACTGGCTAGCTAGTACACTAACTGATGGTTACAGTAATTCTCGTCAGTAAAAACTAATAAAATCTGCCTTTTCTTTTCCTCAAAAACGATAGCACACACTGTGACAATATAGTTTATAAATAGATCACCAAAAACTTACCTAATCTTGCGGCCACATTTCAAACAACAATATAGTTTATTAGTAGATCACCAAAAACTTACCCAATCTTGAGGCCACATTTCAAACACGATCTGACTCTGAAGTTCAGTTTGTTGTCTTCTTCTGGTGATGTTTTGTTTAAACCAAACTTCTGCCACCTATTGGTGCACTTCCGCAATTAACTGGTCTAGAGTTATTAGGGCACATAGTGGGATTTAATCCAACAAACTAGATGCTCTTAAGTACTGTTTACTAAAGTTGTTTAGTTTAACTATTTCATCCACCTAAAAGTTCACATAACACAGTGTAATTAAGTAAATTCAACAAATTTGTAAAAATCAGTTATGTTTACTCGCTTTTCTTAAGTAGATTCAGTGATTGCTTTTTACAGTGTAATACATGAATTTGTGACATAATAATACAAAAATTATTGTATTAAAATTGGGAAAAAGCAAAATGAAAGCATTTTGTCTAGTGGTCTTTTGGACCCCCTCAATGTTAAGCCTACTCACTTTTTCCATTCTAGCTGTTTGGTCAAAGAGAATGAAAACCCACCCACACCATTTATTCTCTTTATCTGACGTGTAAACGTCACATCCCAAAACAAGGTTATCTATCAGAGGTTTCACTGCAGTCCTTACAAAAAATGCATACATCTAAAACCACACACAAAATAATGTATATTTTTGGATTTTGAAGCCCGGGTGTGATATGTCACGCTTTCTTCTGCTGACTGGTATTTCACACTGTTTTTGTGGCTTTTGATCACATGACCGCTAAATGGAGAACGGAAAGTGGGTGAGAACTGAAACTGTGACATTTTAACAAGTGTCAGCTCATTTTTAATTGACAGTTGAACTCATGTAGCCTCAGGCTATGCAAATCTGCAATAGTTTTTCTCCTTACATTGTTAAATGAGTGTAATACATGAATTTGTGACATAATAATACAAAAATTATTGTATTAAAATTGGGAAAAAGCAAAATGAAAGCATTTTGTCTAGTGGTCTTTTGGGCCCCCTCAATGTTAAGCCTACTCACTTTTTCCATTCTAGCTGTTTGGTCAAAGAGAATGAAAACCCACCCACACCATTTATTCTCTTTATCTGACGTGTAAACGTCACATCCCAAAACAAGGTTATCTATCAGAGGTTTCACTGCAGTCCTTACAAAAAATGCATACATCTAAAACCACACACACAAAATAATGTATATTTTTGGATTTTGAAGCCCGGGTGTGATATGTCACGCTTTCTTCTGCTGACTGGTATTTCACACTGTTTTTGTGGCTTTTGATCACATGACCGCTAAATGGAGAACGGAAAGTGGGTGAGAACTGAAACTGTGACATTTTAACAAGTGTCAGCTCATTTTTAATTGACAGTTGAACTCATGTAGCCTCAGGCTATGCAAATCTGCAATAGTTTTTCTCCTTACATTGTTAAATGACAAAAGTGCCATCATTATCATTGTTCCAGAGAACAAACTGAACATACAGGTTAGGCATTTCTCTCAGCTGACAGAATTTGATGAAAATGTTTCTGTCAAGTTATCTGTAGGCTAGGTACTAGCTTTTGTGTGCCTTTAGTGTTTCATAAATGTAGAGCTCTCGTATCAGATACAGTCAGTTTTGCTCATATTGTCATTGACACCTGGCAGTATAGAGGTCCATGTACAGTATTTGTAATATTTATGTTTTTTCTGTACAAAATGTTGTTACAATGGTTACATCAACCTGTGTATTGTGATAGCCCTGCAGATTCTGTCTGCTGGCAAAGAGAATACAGCTACAACTCTGACAGTCACAACAGCTGCAGTTTTCCATGTTTAGATCATTTTTTAATAGCTGAATCACAGAAAGACATTCACAGAGAACAGAGGCGTATTATGAGGAGATTGATGTCTGCCAGCGATTATTGAACTCTTGGCAGGTAGAGTGAGGTGGCGGCGGTTCCCAGGAGACTGTGGCCACCATCTGCACTGGAAAGAGATGCAAACAATTCCCCCTTCACAAAGCCCCTGTGTGCTGTTGTGCTGCTCTGTAAGAAAAAGTGAAACTGAAAAATTGTAATGTGGTAAATGTTCCAACCAGTCTGATTTAGTGGCATAAATATAAGCAGCATTTTGTTTGAAGCTGTGTAAATGCTTCCTTAGGCTGATGAAAAGGATGAGCTGCTCTTCACAAAAATGACATGTCCATTACATTCTCTTTATCATCCAATATAAGAGGATGTTAACTATATGTCCAAAATTGCAGCAACAATCTGGAGAAAATCAATATCTATCTACTCAAATAAATGCTGTTCTTCTGAACTCTTCTGAACTTCATCATAGAATCCTGAAAGAAGTATCAGTTTCCACATAAATATTACTATTTTCAACTGATAATAATAAGAAATGTTTCTTGAGCACCAAATTGGCATATTACAATGATTTCTGAAGACTGGAGTAATGACTTCTGAAAATTCAGATTTGCAATCACAGAAATAAATTCAATTTTATATTATATTAAACTAGAAACCATATATTTTAAATTGTAATAACATTTCACAATATTACCGTTTTTACTGTATTTTTAATAAAAAAATAGAGCCTTGCTGAGCATTAGAGACTTCTTTTAAGAAAGTTGAACAAGCTTAAATTCCCCAAACATTTGAAAAGTAGTGTAAATGTAATCATTTTACAATGATTAAATATATGTTGAATATTATAAGGAATTGCATGACACAAATGTTATATTTAAGTCAGAGCCAGGTATGAAAAAAATAACAGCCAATGAGGCAAATCAAAAACTTGTGTATCAAAACTTCACAAAAACATCCTCAAACTTTTATGTATTTACTCTAAATGAGCATTTGCATGCTTGAGCTGTTGATAATGTGTTTAGCATCAAACACCACTTCAGTCTGTCGTGCCTCTCATTAAGAGCATGTAGTATTCATTAATATGGATATAAGAAATGAACAACAAACAATAACATAGTTACCAAGGTAGCTGCATAAGAAGAACTAAAAGCAAACAAAGATTTGCAAGGACTTGCATATTAAATGGATGATTCACCCCAAAAAATTAGCTCTTACAGGCAATATTGGTGCATGAGTAAAATGAATAGCACATTTAAAAAATATCTGATGTCTTTATTCACAAGGGCAGAACAAAAAGTCAGATAGACAAAAGAAATATTCATGATTGCTTTTTTTCATATAAGCTATAGTTAATACATTTGTGCTTAATACTCAAGCAAAATTAAATTACAATAAAATCAGTGGGAGCCTCAATATTTACACACAGACAATTCAAGTAAAATATAACAACATCACTGATATATTTTTATCAGGGAGACAACTCTACTGAAAGTCTCAGATGGTAAACATGACAATATTCACAGCTGAAAGAATATGATCAAACATAACCAAAAGACTTGAAATGTCATGATTCTAATTAAAGTGTGCCAAGGTGACTTTTTCAAACTATGATTGTATTTTAAATGTTAATAACCAGATTGAATTCAAGTATTTAAAGGTGAAGCAAGTGTAAACACTGTGGCTCTGTCACAGTGTTTTTTTTTTTTGCTGAGAAGGGGTTTGGGTCAAGAGACCCACTAATGTCTGTAGAGCAGCTCCTGTGGTCTAGTCCCCTTAGGTACAGTTTGGATATGCTTGTTTTGAGACTAGAAGCAGCATCTTTATTATTTGAGTTCCTGAGGAGATTTTCTTCCTGGCCATTGCAAGAAGTTTCATTTGATTTATTAGTACCGTTATGGTGAGCACAAATAGACGGAGAATTGGTTGATTCTAATGGGACAGCGTGTCTTCCAAGAGAGGAGTCTGAATTTGATTCCTCACACTGGACTTGATCAACTGACATCGAGGCCAAGCTTAAATGACTTGCATTCCCAACTTCCTTGCGTGTCAGCACAGGTGTAGATGATGAAGAGGATGAAAGTCGTACCTCAATGAAAGTTCTTTGAGTGTTGATGACAGTAACCTCTGATTTTGAGACTTGCTCCTTTAGGTCCGGGACTTGTTCCTTCTTGGAAGGCTTGAGTTCTTCTTTGGTGGTGTTGATGGAATTTGTCTTTAAGACACTGGACACAGTGGGTTGGTCAGTTTTACAAGTAACCCTGATCTTCTCAGATGTCCTGGTGGATTTAGGGCTACCAGTTGGTGTGGTTCTTTTGGAGATAAGTTTAGGAGACTGACTTTGGGAGCTGAGAGCTTTTTTCTGTCCTGGACTTTCCACTCTTGGCGTTCTAGAGACGGACTGTTCTAGGTCTTTGGATTTACTCTTAATACTTAGACCCTTAAGTTTAGAAGAGGTATTTGACTTTTTATCATCAACTTTGAGTCTACTTCTCAGCAGGGGCGAGATAGGAGTGTCATTAGGGGATTTAGTTCCCAAAGATTTGACACAATAAGAGGTGGATTTACTCTGGGTTTGGGAAAGTGATGATTTCAAGTCAAGTATAGGATGATCTTTCTCTTTCTCCTTGTCTTTTGGAGCAATTGTAGAGGAGGCCTGCCCACTAGTTTTGCCATTTAATGCCTTGGGCTGTGACACAGTTGACCCCAGTGGCACTTGCTCAGTATTGAGTTTCTCTACTGACAGAGATGCATCTGAGAGCAACTTAGTTGTCCTCTCTTGACTTCTTGGGGTGACGTGACTAATACCCTGAGTAACAGCGGGATAAGGGACACCTGTTGGTGTCTGGCAGATTTGAACAGATTTTGAAATGGTTTCACATTTTTCATCAGTGTTGCAGTTTGATGGTGTTCTCTGAGATGCACACATTGCCTCCTGTTGTGTGGGAGTGTGTCCACTCTCCCCATTTAGGAGATCATCACCTGAAACTTGAGGGCAAAGTGGATCTGGTAACCTAGAGACAGAATGATACTCTTGCGAATCCTTGTCTTGCATTGTGAGTGACAGAGGGTTGTGGAGATCCATACTAGCAAGTATGCCTCCACTAGCAAGACTGTCAACAGTCTGGCAATTGGCCGTGCTTTTTCTGTCTGGCAAACAGCTGCCCTCTGATTGGCTGAATGCAGGCTGACTGACAGTGCTGTAACAGAGCTCAACCTCTTCCTCATCGGAGTCAGTGTCCTGAGGACCCTCACAGTGACCTTGAGACGACTCTACTTTGACAGCACTGTCTGTAGAGTCACTCTCAGAGTCACCATCTTCCACCAGACTGTACATACTTGCTTTCTCTAGGACAATGTCCTCTCCCAGATTACTAAAGTTCCTTGAGTAACTATTTAAAAACGTCTTTCCTACAGGAAAATGGCAAGCGCTGTTCCCCACATCTAGGATTTACTCTTAATACTTAGACCCTTAAGTTTAGAAGAGGTATTTGACTTTTTATCATCAACTTTGAGTCTACTTCTCAGCAGGGGCGAGATAGGAGTGTCATTAGGGGATTTAGTTCCCAAAGATTTGACACAATAAGAGGTGGATTTACTCTGGGTTTGGGAAAGTGATGATTTCAAGTCAAGTATAGGATGATCTTTCTCTTTCTCCTTGTCTTTTGGAGCAATTGTAGAGGAGGCCTGCCCACTAGTTTTGCCATTTAATGCCTTGGGCTGTGACACAGTTGACCCCAGTGGCACTTGCTCAGTATTGAGTTTCTCTACTGACAGAGATGCATCTGAGACCAACTTAGTTGTCCTCTCTTGACTTCTTGGGGTGACGTGACTAATACCCTGAGTAACAGCGGGATAAGGGACACCTGTTGGTGTCTGGCAGATTTGAACAGATTTTGAAATGGTTTCACATTTTTCATCAGTGTTGCAGTTTGATGGTGTTCTCTGAGATGCACACATTGCCTCCTGTTGTGTGGGAGTGTGTCCACTCTCCCCATTTAGGAGATCATCACCTGAAACTTGAGGGCAAAGTGGATCTGGTAACCTAGAGACAGAATGATACTCTTGCGAATCCTTGTCTTGCATTGTGAGTGACAGAGGGTTGTGGAGATCCATACTAGCAAGTATGCCTCCACTAGCAAGACTGTCAACAGTCTGGCAATTGGCCATGCTTTTTCTGTCTGGCAAACAGCTGCCCTCTGATTGGCTGAATGCAGGCTGACTGACAGTGCTGTAACAGAGCTCAACCTCTTCCTCATCGGAGTCAGTGTCCTGAGGACCCTCACAGTGACCTTGAGACGACTCTACTTTGACAGCACTGTCTGTAGAGTCACTCTCAGAGTCACCATCTTCCACCAGACTGTACATACTTGCTTTCTCTAGGACAATGTCCTCTCCCAGATTACTAAAGTTCCTTGAGTAACTATTTAAAAACGTTTTTCCTACAGGAAAATGGCAAGCGCTGTTCCCCACATCTAGGGCAGAGAAATCCAGAAGGTTAGGTTGCAATTGTGCTGCAGTTCCTCTGTCGTCTACTTGACTGCACTCTTCTGTTTTTGCACTTGCATCTGTGGAATCCAAGACACTTCTGTCTTTTTCTTTGCTTTCTGCTGAGTTCAGTTCAGTTATGACATCATCAATATTAGTGATGGGAATGCTGTTGCTGTGGATTGCTAATGCCTGTTTCGCATTTGTTTCTGATGAAAGGCTTTCTTGGGCTGCAACAATAATTTTGTCCATATGATTCCTTTCTTCTGGAGGTCTAGGTGTCTCCATTTTAGACGAGACCTCACAGCCAGAAGACATAACCAGGCTAGAAAGTCGATCTACAGCTGCAAATATGGACAAAATACACTATGGTTACACATTATATCATATTCAGTTATTCAACACGATTCATCACATCAGTTTGCACTTCAAATCAATAATAGGCAGTTAAAACATATCAAACAGTTAAACAGAATCACTGGATATGACGATGTTACATCAAGATAAATCCTACCATACAAGTGCACCACTGAAGCCTGCGAGACAAGCTACAAATTGCCTGTATTATAAATCAACATTCCATTGGAAAACTATTTCAACGAATCCTTTCCATTGTCCTACAAATATGCGTAGCAAATTATACTGAAAGAAACCCAGATCAGTACCATTGCAGTTCATTTCATAGTCTGATATTTCACTGACTCTGTTATTCATTAATGTTGTTCAAAGTCAGCACCACAGAGCCAAACTCCATAGGAAACTTTGGACTACTATGAAATAACTTTTCTGAGAAAATAGGTGAGTCTCACTCTGAGCATACCTAGGGATTGGTGGGACACAAAGACAAAGGCAATCCGTAGAGAAAGGATTTTTGTATTGTTTCAGATGCTGTACTACTGGCATCCTGGAGGCATATTTTCTAAGGCTTTGCTCAGTTTTGTCTGAAGCCGACACCTCTGAATATTCCATTCACGATTAAACAGACAAATGTAAAATAAGCAAAATTTCCTGAAATATTGAATGCATTCAAAGGTTATTTTACAGGGCATAACTGAAAATGGTAGACCTGGTGGTACATTCAACACGATGGAGTGTATGTTATTCTAAACAACATTATTTACATAAATGCAAATGAGCATATGCTCTAATGTATATGATGAACAAGATCGATCACATACAGTATAAACATTAGATGACGGCAGGAATAGACAGACAAAGACAGACATATTAATACACTATATAACAGTTGTTTCTTGAGGCTATTGCTCTGCATGATGAGACTCAAAAGATCTCTTAGTAAGAAATGTTTTGACCAAAATTTTATGAATGTGCTACATGACAGTCAGAGCAATAACACCAAATCTAGATTCTAATTGACTAACGGCCTCTAGGAAGCAGTAGCGCTGTTACTCTACACATCTACGGTGGCTACGGTAGTAAAGTAATCAATAGTCACCATTGACAAATAGCCAGGAGCCTGCAGTTCCCTTTGAGCTGGTGAAGGGTACTGCCAGAAAGGGGAAGCCTGTAGTACTCCTATCTCTTTAAGGCAGCATGGGAAAAGACAGACTGATCTCTATTGCAGTGGCAATTCTACCTGTGCTTATAATCTCTTGTGAAGGATATATTATACAAGACCTGTTTACCCTGCTATATTTTGATATATTGTTTATACAATTAGGAAACAGCTTTAAATCTGCTGGAGCACCACAGTCTGCGGGAAGGGAGGAGGGAATGTGGATAATACTTTAACAAGCCTTCTAGAGCAATATGACACTATACATAACACAGCATTGACTACTATTATTGATCAAAGCAAATTCATATGTTGATTATTAGATTGTCCATGTAAATTAGGACAGGTATCAGTATAGTTACTAGTGTAGTGTAGAGAAGATGTTTAATTAGATTAGGGAAAATATCTTGTGAGATTATAAAATTATGTTAATCCAAAAATGAAATCATTTATGTTGTTCCAAGCTTGAAACTTCAGTTGCCGTTCCTTGTAACTGCATGGAAAAGAGTGAGTTTGCAAAATTTCTCCTTGTGTGTTCCACCGAAGAAAGAAAATCATATTGGTTTGGGACAATAGAAGTGTGGGTAAATGATGAGAGTTTTCATTTTGGGGTGAACATCCTTCTTTTGGAACATTTAAATGAGCAGACATACATGGGAAAAACCATAGACTGTATAAAACCATGGACGTAGTGTCCGTGACATCACCCGTAGGTTTCTGAAGAGCGTTTTTGAAGCTCAAAGTTGGCGGAGCCGGCCGTCGCCATCTTGGCAGCGTGTCACCACGCGTCACTCCCAGATAATCGAAAATGGGCAAAGAGGCAGGAGCTGGTTGCTGAAACCACGCCCACCTAGCTCGATGGTGGTGACAGCACCGGCAATCCACCTGTCACTCAAGTGGCCACGCCCTTAATTATGCAGAACTTTAAGGCTTAATATAATTTAAACTGAAAAAATTCACCCCCCCTCACAAGTTGTCATGAAGGGCAAAATTAGCTATACAGACCAAAACCACTTTTTGTACCAGGCTGTAAACATATTTTTTTCTGCTGTAAAGTTGGGCATTTTAACAAGGGAGGTCTATTGGGATTGACTCCCTTTTGGCGGCCAGTCGATGAATTACAGTTTTAGTCACTTCCGTGTTGGTTTCACAAGAGAGACCGGAAGGTTGCTGCTTGGGAAAAACCCATCAGCAAAGCTAATATCGACTTCTCATTGGTTAACTCCAGAAAGCAATAGATACTGTATGCCGGCTGCAACTCACCTGAGACTGGCTTCTTAATCTCTAAGGTCAATGTGATTGGCAGGTTGTGCATGAGGTCACAGATCTCCTGATAGGTGGATGTACACACAGGGGTGTCACCAATTGTTACAATCTCATCACCAACGCTCATCTTCCCTGAGGCTTCCTGAAGGAATACACATGAAAGAAATGGGTGAAATGCATTCCTCAGATTTATTCTGGAGATATCTCATCCATGTCTCCAAGCACAACCAGCTGTCCGACACAAAGTGTTATCTCAACAGTGAGGATGGGAATCGTGAAGAATTTAACAATTCTGGTCCCTTAACAGTTCCATTAACAATTCTTTCAGTTTTTTAGGGAAAGAAAGATATAAATAAATAGAAAATAAATACATAAGGGTGCCATAAATGCAGTTCAGTTATTCGTCTTAACAATATATCAAACATCAATACTAAACAAACAAAATGTGGGGTCACACTTTATTTTAAGGTCCAATTCTTGCTATTAACAAACCATTAACTATGACTTTTGCCTCAATAAACTCTTAATTTACTGCTTATTAATAGTTAGTAAGGTGTTTGTTAAATTTAGGTATTGAGTAGGATTAGGGATGTAGAATATAGTCATGTAGAATATGTGCTTATAAGTACTAATAAACAACCAATATGTTAATAATAGGCATGCTAATAAGCAACTAGTTAATAGTGAGAATTGGTCCCTACTATATTAAAGTGTTACCAAATGTGGTAACATTTTTCATTCATTTTTATGAAATGCTCCTGACAAATGCATGTATATATTTAGTTACTCATTGTCATGTGTAGAACCAGCCTGTAATTAAACTGAGATCTCACAGTTGTGAACCGTGTTCTTTTTAGTGTTTTCTTTTCTTTCTTTTTTTTACAACACAGACTCATTAGACTTGTTTGTTTGGGAACTGTACTACACTGGTTACATTATATAATTTTAATTCACAAAAAATGCTCATGAAAGTCATTCTTTTCTAATTTTGCTGTTTTAAGCTATAGATTCGGTAGTCATGTTGTGGCACCACTGAATCAGTAATGCAGGAAACTCAAAGTATTTAAGTATAATATTCTGTTCGCATTGGTGGAAGAATGAACAAGTAAAAACCATCAACAGAACCAAATGTCTTTTGGTTCTGGTCATTTCTTTTTAAAAGTCTCTTTCTCTTTCAGCCATAGTTGAATGTTAAAAAACATTACAATTAATCAAAACATTCACAATTTCCAGCCTACCCTTTCCGCAACACCTCCCGGTCTCAGCCCTGTGATCAGCACCTTGAGTGGAGCGGATTTAATCTCCAGATCCAGACCGAAAGACTCAGTCTCATTACGCTGGAGCACTATCGTCTCAATAGTGCAGACCCCTGCTAACTCACTGGATTCCCCCTTCTTGCAGTGCAGCATCCTGCAGGGCGGCCGTGTGCTGTTCTGTGCAACCTGGACAGCGGTTGCTGGGACTAAAGGTGGTTCTTCACCCTTGGCTCTTTGTGGAGGGTTAGGGCACTCAATGCTCATCATGCTCTTGACACGAGTCACAGCTTTGTGCTCCAGCTTGGGTGAGCGTTTGACCTCCTGCCCTTCTCGATGGGGCTCTTTTTTGATGCCCAGGTTTGTTCCTCCGGCTGTCTCCATACAGCGAATGGGCATGAAGGGAGATTCGGCACTAGGCAGGCCGCTAGGTCCTTCCTCAGATTCGAGCGAGATGCCGTAGAGCAGAGTGGCTGGTTCACTGCCTATCTGTCTGTGGCTCTCACTGCTATCCTGGCTTTCATCATCGACCTCGAGAGACGACGTGGCTATTACAATACCAGAGCCTTCCTCTTGGTGGTGGTGGCCGCCATCCGAGAACCCGCGAAGGCGGCGACGGAAAGGGCCACTGTCCTCTTCAAGGCCGGTTTCATCGTCGCTAGGTTCATCCTCATAGCATATGACCCGACGCTGACGAAGAAGTGGGCTGCGAACAGAACTCGGACTGCTTCCCACGCTGGCCTGTTGGGGTGTGTCTGCAGTGCGACCAGCCCCTCCAGAGGCTTTACAACATTCTGGGGTTGTGGGACTACTGTCTGAACCCCTATAGGAGCAATCCTGATACACTGTTATGATAAGAGGACAAAAAAAACAAAACAAAAAAAAACACACTCTGGTGATAAACTGTCACTGATCTTTTTATCAACATGACACTTTAGATTCTGTAATGTTACCATGCGGCCGAGGTGCTGCTGATTCCTCCATAGATGTATTACAGCTCCTGCTACTATGCAGCATGTCGTCATCACTGGATCCCATCACCGTGGTCTCAGAAAGGGAAGAATGGCTGGGTACATCGTGAACTGAGAAATACTGAGAGAGCTCTGCCTCTGAACTCAACGAGCCTTGCTGCAGGGTCAGATGAAAATATAAAATTAAAATCATTCTGAAGATCAACAACATTAAAGGGATAGGTCAGCCAAAAATGAAAATTCAGTCATAAATTACTCACCCTCATGTCGTTCCAAATGTGTAAGACCTTCGTTCATCTTCGGAACAGAAAATAAGATATTTGTGATTAAATCCAAGAGCTTTCTGCATAGACAGCAACAGAACTGAAACATTTTATTAGGGTTGAACCATTGATGTTACATGGACTATTTTAAAGATTTCTTGGCCATAAAACATGACAAGTCATGTTGCTGTCCATGTAGGGTCAGAAAGCTCTTGGATTTCATCAAAAATATCTTAATCTGTGTTCCGAAGATGAACAAAGGTCTTTCACATTTGGAACAAGATGAGGGTGAGTAATTAATGACATAATTTTCATTTTTGGCTGAACTAACCTAAGTAGTGTGCCAAAAAAGCATCTTAAGTCACACTTAAAAATGTTACTGTCACAAAATACTAAAGCAAGTGGCTTGTGCAAATAAACCATGCTAGATTTTCTAGATTTTATGGAACTAACTCCCTTTGAGACCTTAATTTTTGCTTTTCACTTTTCTGGGTTAATTATTTTTGCAAAACGAAAGGGGATTTGTAGTGTATGCACGAAGTCAGTGGTCCTAATTTTGACTGTTTGCTTGAAAAGTGTGTTTGTTCTTGCTATCTGTCTTTAAGTAAATACCACTTAGTTTGGTATTTTGTTATTTCATGCAAAGACATTAATTTTCATCTCATTTTCAGTGTGACTTAAGTCCGAGCACTTGTTTCATTGTACCTAAAATGCAATTTAAATGAAGCAAAGTTTTATGGATTTGATTAATTCCAAGTCTATTTTCTCTGACAAGTTGAGTCCTCTGTAGACTAAAGCTTCTAGTTTACCCTGCTGGCTGGCTCAAGAAATCTCTTCATGGTCCAGCTGAGAGCAGGATTACCCTCACCCTGCTTGACTTTAACAGAGGGAGATGGACTCTTCGACGGCAGGCCTGTGAAAGAGAGCACAAAAGAAAATGACAGTCAAAAAATAGCTGTATTTCTTGCTGAGGTACAAACCACTGATCTCCAGTTATCTAATCAGAGAATACAGCTGCATCGGAATTTCAAAACAAATATTTGGAAGCGTAATATGAACTTAATAAATCAAAGTCAAAACAGAGCTTTTCAGAATTTAACTAATTTTTTTTTTTAACTAAAACCTATAAACAGAACAGGCAGTTTACCGAGCGTGTGGGAAGAATGACTATCTCTGTGAGTGGAGCGAGTGATCACTTCATCCATCTCCTGTTCAGACACCTGAGGGTGAGAGATGACGATACAAAACACTCAGCCATTGAATCTTGCAGACCATGAAAAAGCATTGCTATATCCTAAGCTTCAGTCTTAATTAAATATCAAATATAAAGTATCATATCTTGATTATTGTTTACCTTAAAATGAGGCAAATGACAAATTATCTTTTCCGACCACCAGACGGCACTGTGATTCAAGTTTATTCAATTCAGTTCAAGTTTAATTGTATAGCACTTGACACCATACAAATTGTTGCAAAGCAACTTTTCAGCAAATCAAGTTTCTACAATATTTAGTAGTAGCTTATTAGAATCTTCTTCATAATTCTGTGAACCCTAAATAACCATTTTTATGTCTTATCTTAAAAATATATATTTTTATTAAAATAATAATAAATAAATAACATTAATTTGATGTCTGAAATTATCATTGTATTTTTAAAGCATTCACTGAGAAAAACAGAAAGAAATGTGTGATTCTGTTTCTGGTATTTCATATTAAAGAATACTAATTACATTTAAACAATGTGAACCATTTGGCCTAGTTGTTTTGACACCACACTTTGAAGCCCTCTGCTACAGCAGGCAGATCCCAATTTGCCTTTATACAACTGACTCGAGATGAGATCAGGTTTTGCCAGATCTATTTCAGTTGACTTTTATTGTTGACTTCAATACAGGTCTTTCTCAACTCAAAAGAATCGATCAAATGTAACATAATAAAAGAAACACTCAAGATCCGAGTGCAAAAACAGACACTTCACGCCACATGCACCTGTATGGCAAAAACACGCTTAAAAACACTGCTGTCTTTAACAACAAATCCACCCAAGGAATACTTTTCCAGCTCCTCTGTATCTGAGCCATGAGCCTTGGGCCAAATATGTGTTTACGCCAAGACAAAAAGTTGGACTTTAAAGTCTATAGGAACATATCTAAAAAAATAAATGAATAAATAAATATCTATAAAATTACATGTCAGGTGCTGATTTAAGTAATTAATGACTCTTTGAGAAAGGCTCCTGACCTTGTGTCACATGGTAAGTGTTAAACTAGTCCTAACACTGCTCTGCTCATGGCACATTTGCACTGGCTCTCATTTATCAGGCCGAGTGAACAGTCAGCATATTCTAACCACCAAAATCTCCTGCTGTACCCCACCCCAGCCACATTTCTCAACATCTTGATTCATTAGGTGGATGAAAACCAAGTTGTGCCAGCACAAGGGAGAGAGAAATGTTGTTTACTTTTTGTCAGGCTTCAATGATTCATGCTAGGAGCAAATTACAACTTAACAGGTGGATGGTGCTTTTGATTTCCACTTGCAGCAGTCTGGCAGAGGAAGAGGCCCTTGTGACTGAAGGAGTGTGACCACATCACCACACCGATGCTTGGGGTTTATTTATTCATAAATTAAACCAGGTTCTAAAACTAGGGGGCGTTTACATTATTAATAGTTCTATGGACATTACAATATTTAATTCTCATGGAACATTAACCCTAAAAAAGTTGCACCCTCTGAACTAAACTATTAAAGAGATAGTTCACCCAAAAATGAAAATTCTGTCATTAATTACTCACTCTCATGGTGTTCCAAACCCGTAAGACCCTTGTTAATCTTCAGGACACAAATTTAGATATTTTTTATTAAATCCAAGAGCTTTCTGACCCTGAACAGACAGCAATGCAACAGACATGTTCAAGACCCAGAAAGGTAGAAAGGACACTGATAAAATAGTCCATGTGACATCAGTGGTTCAAGCTTAATTTTATGAAGCTACAAGTATACCTTTTTTTCACAAAGAAAATAAAATAATAATTCATTCAAAATGTTTTTCTCTTTTGGGTTCTACGTCAGAATGCTGGCTTCATGCGTCAGCAGCATCACATGCATGTGTTGTGGTACTCTTGTGAACATGCGTCGAAGACTGACATTTTGCAATTGTTGAATAAAGTCGTTATTTTTGTTTTCTTTGTGCACAGAAAGTATTCTCGTAGCTTCATAACATTAAGTTTGAACCACTGATGTCACATTGACTATTTTAACAATGTCCTTACTACCTTTCTGGGTCTTGAACATGGTAGTTGCGTTGCTGTATATGGAGAGTTAGAAAGCTCTCAGATTTCATCAAAAATATCTTAATTTGTGTTCCTAAGATGAACAAAGGTCTTATGGGTTTGGAACGACGTGAGGGTGAGGAATTAATGACAGAATTTAAATTTTTGGGTGAACTTTCCCTTATACTACCATAGATTCTCAGTTGTTAATGAGATGATAGTTTGTGAATACAGTAATTTCTATACTGAGGCTAAATAAGACTCCACATGTGTGTCTGAATTTGGCTCTTACTTTGGGGTTTGGATGTCGGCTGATGATGAGGCTGACTGGGCCGGGTCCGCATTCACTCAGGATAGCATAGGCTTCACTCAACGCTGCGTGTCTCAGGCTCACAGAGTCCACCTCCAGGAGCTGGTCTCCTCGACTGATACATACATGCACACGTTAGTCATCAATATCATGAACATATTGGCAAGGCAAACTTATTCATGTAGCACAATGTAATTTAAACGGTTTGATAGTGAAAAATAAATAAAAGCTTCATTTCACATTAAAAATGTATTACAGTTTTCAACATTCATAATAAAGGTAAGAAATGTTACTTGAGCAGCTTAACAGCATATTAGAATGATTTCTGAAGGATGTTACACAGAAGACTGGAGAAATGGGCTTTGCAATCATAGGATTGAATTACATTTTAAAATATAATAAAATGGTTATTTTAAATTTTTAAATTGCTTCCCAATATTACTCTATTTTTACTGCATTTTTGATCAAATCAATTCAGTCTTGGTGAGAACAAGAAGTGAAGAAGTGAAAAAAAATCTTACCAACCACAAATTTTGAATGATAGTGTAAACTGGCAAAGTTTACATTCATGCTTTCAGCCTGGATTTAAATGTGGATAACGCTGCAGGACATCTGATATTTTCTGGAAGCTGGTTCCAGCTGTGGGTGGCATAATATCTTAAAGCTGTCTCAGCATGTTTGGAGTGAACCTTATATATTTTTATCTGACTTAATCCTAATGATTTAAGAGATTTATTAGGTTTATATTCAATAAGCACATTCAAAATATATTTAGGTCTAGACCATTGAACGATCGAGTATAATATACAGTATATCACATGATAATGGGGATTACCATTGATGTATGCAATCCAAGGGGATTTTAAGTGTCAACCCAATAAAAATAGACATGCCTGAGTGTGTATTACAGCCTTATCTTTCTCTTTAGACAGCTGCAACCACTTTCACAACTAGATCTAACATTCAGGACCTCAATCTCCTGCCATAAAGACCCCATTCATGGCTTTCTGGCTCTTATTGCACATTCTTTTTCAGTCTGTGAGGTGTTTCATCTAAAAAGCAGCAAGCACACACAAACTCTAGCAAATCACAAACAGAAATGCAGACAATGAAGAACAAATGAGGTTTATTGATGTTTTACACATTCAAAAAAACAATCAGCTTCAAACACGTGTACAGACACATTGTAGGCCATGTAGGGAAAATGAAGATCTATGTGATTGTTCTCCCTAGTGGGGTATTATTCCTGCCACTCCCTTCCTTAATTAACTGTAAGTGAAGAATTTAAGATGATTGCTCAAAGGGGTACAGTGTCTGCAAAGTCAGACAAACTAGCACCATTCACTCTTAAAGCAGCACTATGTAACTGTTTCTGTGTTCAAAATTTGCAAAAAGTATATAATGAGCAAGTACATCATGAATTCATCTTCCAAACCGCGTTTTTGTCTTATTCTGAATCACTACGGTACACTTATAATAAGTACTTATATTTGGACTATTGTAGCCTGGTCGGGTCGTCACCGCTGCGGAGTATTGAATCTTGCAGACCATGAAAAAGCATTGCTATATCCTAAGCTTCAGTCTTAATTAAATATCAAATATAAAGTATCATATCTTGATTATTGTTTACCTTAAAATGAGGCAAATGACAAATTATCTTTTCCGACCACCAGACGGCACTGTGATTCAAGTTTATTCAATTCAGTTCAAGTTTAATTGTATAGCACTTGACACCATACAAATTGTTGCAAAGCAACTTTTCAGCAAATCAAGTTTCTACAATATTTAGTAGTAGCTTATTAGAATCTTCTTCATAATTCTGTGAACCCTAAATAACCATTTTTATGTCTTATCTTAAAAATATATATTTTTATTAAAATAATAATAAATAAATAACATTAATTTGATGTCTGAAATTATCATTGTATTTTTAAAGCATTCACTGAGAAAAACAGAAAGAAATGTGTGATTCTGTTTCTGGTATTTCATATTAAAGAATACTAATTACATTTAAACAATGTGAACCATTTGGCCTAGTTGTTTTGACACCACACTTTGAAGCCCTCTGCTACAGCAGGCAGATCCCAATTTGCCTTTATACAACTGACTCGAGATGAGATCAGGTTTTGCCAGATCTATTTCAGTTGACTTTTATTGTTGACTTCAATACAGGTCTTTCTCAACTCAAAAGAATCGATCAAATGTAACATAATAAAAGAAACACTCAAGATCCGAGTGCAAAAACAGACACTTCACGCCACATGCACCTGTATGGCAAAAACACGCTTAAAAACACTGCTGTCTTTAACAACAAATCCACCCAAGGAATACTTTTCCAGCTCCTCTGTATCTGAGCCATGAGCCTTGGGCCAAATATGTGTTTACGCCAAGACAAAAAGTTGGACTTTAAAGTCTATAGGAACATATCTAAAAAAATAAATGAATAAATAAATATCTATAAAATTACATGTCAGGTGCTGATTTAAGTAATTAATGACTCTTTGAGAAAGGCTCCTGACCTTGTGTCACATGGTAAGTGTTAAACTAGTCCTAACACTGCTCTGCTCATGGCACATTTGCACTGGCTCTCATTTATCAGGCCGAGTGAACAGTCAGCATATTCTAACCACCAAAATCTCCTGCTGTACCCCACCCCAGCCACATTTCTCAACATCTTGATTCATTAGGTGGATGAAAACCAAGTTGTGCCAGCACAAGGGAGAGAGAAATGTTGTTTACTTTTTGTCAGGCTTCAATGATTCATGCTAGGAGCAAATTACAACTTAACAGGTGGATGGTGCTTTTGATTTCCACTTGCAGCAGTCTGGCAGAGGAAGAGGCCCTTGTGACTGAAGGAGTGTGACCATATCACCACACCGATGCTTGGGGTTTATTTATTCATAAATTAAACCAGGTTCTAAAACTAGGGGGCGTTTACATTATTAATAGTTCTATGGACATTACAATATTTAATTCTCATGGAACATTAACCCTAAAAAAGTTGCACCCTCTGAACTAAACTATTAAAGAGATAGTTCACCCAAAAATGAAAATTCTGTCATTAATTACTCACTCTCATGGTGTTCCAAACCCGTAAGACCCTTGTTAATCTTCAGGACACAAATTTAGATATTTTTTATTAAATCCAAGAGCTTTCTGACCCTGAACAGACAGCAATGCAACAGACATGTTCAAGACCCAGAAAGGTAGAAAGGACACTGATAAAATAGTCCATGTGACATCAGTGGTTCAAGCTTAATTTTATGAAGCTACAAGTATACCTTTTTTTCACAAAGAAAATAAAATAATAATTCATTCAAAATGTTTTTCTCTTTTGGGTTCTACGTCAGAATGCTGGCTTCATGCGTCAGCAGCATCACATGCATGTGTTGTGGTACTCTTGTGAACATGCGTCGAAGACTGACATTTTGCAATTGTTGAATAAAGTCGTTATTTTTGTTTTCTTTGTGCACAGAAAGTATTCTCGTAGCTTCATAACATTAAGTTTGAACCACTGATGTCACATTGACTATTTTAACAATGTCCTTACTACCTTTCTGGGTCTTGAACATGGTAGTTGCGTTGCTGTATATGGAGAGTTAGAAAGCTCTCAGATTTCATCAAAAATATCTTAATTTGTGTTCCTAAGATGAACAAAGGTCTTATGGGTTTGGAACGACGTGAGGGTGAGGAATTAATGACAGAATTTAAATTTTTGGGTGAACTTTCCCTTATACTACCATAGATTCTCAGTTGTTAATGAGATGATAGTTTGTGAATACAGTAATTTCTATACTGAGGCTAAATAAGACTCCACATGTGTGTCTGAATTTGGCTCTTACTTTGGGGTTTGGATGTCGGCTGATGATGAGGCTGACTGGGCCGGGTCCGCATTCACTCAGGATAGCATAGGCTTCACTCAACGCTGCGTGTCTCAGGCTCACAGAGTCCACCTCCAGGAGCTGGTCTCCTCGACTGATACATACATGCACACGTTAGTCATCAATATCATGAACATATTGGCAAGGCAAACTTATTCATGTAGCACAATGTAATTTAAACGGTTTGATAGTGAAAAATAAATAAAAGCTTCATTTCACATTAAAAATGTATTACAGTTTTCAACATTCATAATAAAGTAATTTTTGGGTGAACTTTCCCTTATACTACCATAGATTCTCAGTTGTTAATGAGATGATAGTTTGTGAATACAGTAATTTCTATACTGAGGCTAAATAAGACTCCACATGTGTGTCTGAGTTTGGCTCTTACTTTGGGGTTTGGATGTCGGCTGATGATGAGGCTGACTGGGCCGGGTCCGCATTCACTCAGGATAGCATAGGCTTCACTCAACGCTGCGTGTCTCAGGCTCACAGAGTCCACCTCCAGGAGCTGGTCTCCTCGACTGATACATACATGCACACGTTAGTCATCAATATCATGAACATATTGGCAAGGCAAACTTATTCATGTAGCACAATGTAATTTAAACGGTTTGATAGTGAAAAATAAATAAAAGCTTCATTTCACATTAAAAATGTATTACAGTTTTCAACATTCATAATAAAGGTAAGAAATGTTACTTGAGCAGCTTAACAGCATATTAGAATGATTTCTGAAGGATGTTACACAGAAGACTGGAGAAATGGGCTTTGCAATCATAGGATTGAATTACATTTTAAAATATAATAAAATGGTTATTTTAAATTGCAAAAATGTTTCCCAATATTACTCTATTTTTACTGCATTTTTGATCAAATCAATTCAGTCTTGGTGAGAACAAGAAGTGAGAACATTAAAAAAAATCTTACCAACCACAAATTTTGAATGATAGTGTAAACTGGCAAAGTTTACATTCATGCTTTCAGCCTGGATTTAAATGTGGATAACGCTGCAGGACATCTGATATTTTCTGGAAGCTGGTTCCAGCTGTGGGTGGCATAATATCTTAAAGCTGTCTCAGCATGTTTGGAGTGAACCTTATATATTTTTATCTGACTTAATCCTAATGATTTAAGAGATTTATTAGGTTTATATTCAATAAGCACATTCGAAATATATTTAGGTCTAGACCATTGAACGATCGAGTATAATATACAGTATATCACATGATAATGGGGATTACCATTGATGTATGCAATCCAAGGGGATTTTAAGTGTCAACCCAATAAAAATAGACATGCCTGAGAGTGTATTACAGCCTTATCTTTCTCTTTAGACAGCTGCAACCACTTTCACAACTAGATCTAACATTCAGGACCTCAATCTCCTGCCATAAAGACCCCATTCATGGCTTTCTGGCTCTTATTGCACATTCTTTTTCAGTCTGTGAGGTGTTTCATCTAAAAAGCAGCAAGCACACACAAACTCTAGCAAATCACAAACAGAAATGCAGACAATGAAGAACAAATGAGGTTTATTGATGTTTTACACATTCAAAAAAACAATCAGCTTCAAACACGTGTACAGACACATTGTAGGCCATGTAGGGAAAATGAAGATCTATGTGATTGTTCTCCCTAGTGGGGTATTATTCCTGCCACTCCCTTCCTTAATTAACTGTAAGTGAAGAATTTAAGATGATTGCTCAAAGGGGTACAGTGTCTGCAAAGTCAGACAAACTAGCACCATTCACTCTTAAAGCAGCACTATGTAACTGTTTCTGTGTTCAAAATTTGCAAAAAGTATATAATGAGCAAGTACATCATGAATTCATCTTCCAAACCGCGTTTTTGTCTTATTCTGAATCACTACGGTACACTTATAATAAGTACTTATATTTGGACTATTGTAGCCTGGTCGGGTCGTCACCGCTGCGGAGTTACACATACCTGCGTGAATCGCCATAGACATAAACTTAGGGAATTAGCTCCGGTTGGAATGTTCTTCCGCGGGATGTGTGCACAGTTCTGTTTATTAACCGCTAGAGCACCAAAAGTTACATAGTGCTGCTTTAACTACTTGAAAAGTTTAGGACATCTCACTACTTTAGCCATGATGAAACCATTTGATAATTTATTTTTTTCATAGAAACATATTGTTATTTTGTTTTGTTTTTTGTTTTTTTCTTAGAAATATGTAGGGCTGCATGATAAATCGCATGCGATATTTAATGCGCATCTTGTCAGTAAAGCCTTTCTGTAATCAGCGGTAAATCTCCATCACGTGCGTGCTTTCACACTGAGCAGCATTAACTACACAGAGCCGTTGTTCACTGATGAGCTGCGCAAAACCACGATCATATTCGCGCGCTCATAACCGGAGTCACTAATCATGCAGATTTACGTTACAAGCTTGGTAGAATTGTACAGTAAGAAAGTTATTTCCCTTAACCAGGAAATTAACGTTCTTAGAATTGACAAGACAGTTGACCCTGAGTGGTCAGCTAAATATCTACAGCGGATCTAAAATATGAATAGTTAATTATAACTAGTTTCCTGTTCATATTTCATATTTCCTGTTGTGAGCTAAATTCGCTACAATGTGAAAGCACGCACGTGATGGAGATTTGCCGCTGATTACAGAACCGGCTTTCTGAAAAGATGCGCATTAAATATCACATGCGATTTATCGTGCAGCCCTAGAAATATGCCATAATATGTTTTTTTCTTAGAATCACACCTAAACTAAAAAGTCAGATTTGCTTTGAGCCACGCTTTCTACTGATTAACCACTGTTAAACATTTCGCACCGCCGGAACTGGGTGTTTTAGTATCGGACTGCCTTTTTCGAGAACCAAATAAGCTCATACTCCGGAGCAGGGTCTAACCAGCACAACTGGTACTACACGTAAAGTAAGTAGACATTGATTGGCCAAACGCGTATGAAAACGCCCTACCCGCCATGATTTAAAACACCATTAAAACATAGTGTCAACTTATTTCGCAAGTATGGAGAACAGCGATAGATGGACGGACGCTGAAGTGCAGGTACTTGTAGCAAATGTAGCACTGCCAGTTGTCGTTGGAGATTCTTAGTCCTCCTTTCTGTTCTTTCAATCGCTTTACGTATACGTCGACTTTCCATGTCCATTATTGTGAAACCCGCGACACACAACAAAAACACAGCTCCGATCACAGCGTCCTCCATCCTCCTGTTGTTAATGTTGTTCTTCTTCGTTTTTGTTGTTGAACGGTGCGCACAAATGACGATGAAGTCGACCGGCTTACATCACTTCTTAGTACACACTCGGTGCGAATGCAACCCTTTAAATGGTACTGGGAAATAGTTCGCGCAAAATCGTCCCAGTACTTTAGTACTGCACATTTAGTTCTGGAACTAAAGCGGTGCGAAAGGCCCTTATATAACCAAAAGTCTACCTGAGTCTGCTATCCATTTTGGCAACAGATCCTGGAGCCAAGCTGTGGATGTAGATCCCAGGAGCGCTGTTTTCCAGTGTTAGACAACAGGCACCGATACCGAGCCCCACACCTGGCTCTGAAACACACAAAAAAACAGCATTGCCAAATGGTTTACTACACATCAGGCATGATTTCGGAGTCTTATTTCTGGGGTTCAAGGAATTTTAGATATTCTGTTGCAACAAGTGGGAAATCTTTATTGCTTCCTCAAATAGATACAACTTCAAGGTAAAATTACCCACTGAACCAAAAGGAAATTAGAGTCTTTGATTTAAAAGACTTATATATTTGTAAGTTAAATATTCACATATACTGCAATAACAACCTTCATGTCAAAGAAGCATGCGGTGTCCCTGAAGTTAACAACTCAATAATGAGAAAGGCATTTGGAAGGTCTATTTATTAGCATGACGATCCAAGAATAACAGTTTTCATTTTGGAAGGACGGTTTATTTGGACACATAATGAGCCTTAAGACTTAGACACACATTCATCCTGACACACAGGTGTGTGTCTATGTTAATAAAAATAACTTTAAAGCCCATTTCCTTGGAATAAAAAAAATCATTTCATGAGTTAATTTCAAATGGAAAGGAGTGTTGAAATAACTTTGCAATTAGCTGATTATTAAATTAATACAGGGCTAATGTTTACTTCTCAAGACTGTTTTCTTCCCAGAACAATAAAATCTGGAAGAGCAATTTGCAAAAAGCAAACAAAGTACACATGAACAAGCAAAACTATTACTGTGGTGGTACAGCTGGCTTTTGTTAATTTTGTATGCACCAATGTTCAAATGTTTAGCTTCTGTAAGAATTTTTATGTTTTTGAAGACATCTCGAATGCTCACCAAGGCTGCATTTATTTGATAATTACAAATATTTAACTAATGTTATTATAATATTATATAATACAAATAATCTTTATTTTAATATATTTTAGCGAACAGTGATTTTTTTTCCAGAATTCTTTGATGAATTCAAAGATCAAAAGAACAACCTTTATTGGAAATAATTTTTTGTAACATTATGTGTCTTTACTGTCACTTTTGATCAGTTGAATGCATCCTTGCAATGTCCTTGCAAAAAATATAAAAAAAATAAAAAATAAAAATCTTTTAGACCAAACTTTTGCACGTTAGTGTACCTCTCTGCAACTCACTGTTTGTTTTATCAGAAAGCCATGATTGTACCTTTGTTCAGTGTAACCTCCATGATAATGCGATCTTTGGGACCAGGCCCCTTACGAGAGTCCCCATCTTCAAAGCTAGGAGGGACTGGAGTCCCACCACTGGCATTTGAGTTCGGAGAGCTGGATCTGCTTAGTAGGGTGGGCGTGGGACAGGGTGTAAGACTTGGGCTTCTCAGACGGGTCCGCACAGTTAGGGTAACTACGCCCTTCTTCAGTTGCTGAAAAGGAGAAAAACGTTATCCATTAGTTGCTGAATGGGACGAACACCTAAGAATTCCTAGTAATTTCCATTTTTCCAATGACACAGAATTCAAAGAAATGGGCCTGAGATTAACAGTCCGGAGTTAAATCTTTTCTGAGGTTTTATGGACCGCTGCAGGTTTTTCTGGGGTGACTGAGCAGTTTACCTTGAAGGTCTGAATGGCCTGCTGGTGCGTGAGGCCTTGGAGAGACTCTCCATTCACTTCCAATATCTCATCACCTGAATGGTGGAAAAAGAAACATTCACCAGTGAAAAAGCTCAAGATAAAAGCCAAAGACAATGAAAATCCTCATGCCATGTGGTTGAGGTCCAACTGCTTTGATGACAATTGCTCCAAGTGCATTAGATCTACTGTATCATGATCTACCTTCCTTCAGTCTCCCGTCTGCTGCAGCTGCTCCATTGGGGAAAATTGTCTTGACGAATATACCCATCCTCCCCCGGGCTGAATCCTGCCCACCGACAATGCTGAAGCCGAGACCCTACACATTCAAATCTCTATGAGCCTGGATTCACAATAGTACAGGTGGTGATGTATCTGATACATGAAATGGTTTCTGCATAGAGGTTTCATTGTCCACCTCTGTATCCCTTTCGTTACAATATGAATCAGAGAGTGAATCACCCTCAAATAAATAAAAAAACGACAAGATCAAAGCATTTTATATCCAAAACGCTATATATGTGAATCCGCATAGTGACAGTGTGTATTATCCTGGATGCAGGGCCTCCCTCACCTTGCCCTGTCCTTTCATTAGGACAATGTTGGAGATTATGGATGGCTGTGCCAGTCGCCATGGAGATTCCACTTGAACAGTGCTCAGGGAACGAGCCGATTTCTTCACAATTTGATATTCCTGAAGAGGATGATAAAAGAGGTTATGAATAAACAAGCAGATGATAAAATAAGCATTATTTTTATTGTGTTGAATTGTGAGGAAAATAAGCAGCTACCACGAGTAATTCATACCTATGAAATGCTTTCTAAATGCTTTTCCTCATTGTAAGTCACTTTAAAAGCAACAGCTGAGATAATGTAAATGCTATTGTGCTAATGTTATTGTGCAGAAAAAGCTAACAAACTGAGACTATTATATTATAAATAGTATACTACATTTAAGCTTATCACAGGGCTATCTAGAACACTTGATTGTTATTGGTGAATTAAAGCATTCTGTGCTAAAATAAAATTTTTGAAAATTGACGCTAAAGCATTTATATGACAACTGTCCCTGGAAATTGGTGCCCTATATTGTTTTTTCTTTTCTCACATAATTAAATATATTAAACTGTATTTTACACAATATGTCCGGGTTTATGCAAAATTATATTTTTTGCAAGAAAAAAAAAAGAAAAGCCTGTAATTGTAATTATAATTGTAAAACTTTATTGTCCACCTGAGTGGAAAACTGTCTTTGGCTCACCACTTTATCCCTTACTTGTGTAAAGGCTGAGACTACAAATATATATAAAAAAAGGTCTGAGGTAAGGATTAAATTATTCACACATCTTTCAATCAAAGGGGTCGTGAACTGAGAAATCAAAATTCCCTTAATCTTTTTATATATAAGAGGTCATTGTGCCAACAAAGAAACATTCTGTAAGTCAAAACTTTCTCGTTAGTCTATAAACAGCTTGGTTGAAGCCAATTTTTTAAAACAACAGGTTGTGGAATGTACCACTCTATGATGTAATAGTGTTGCTAAACACCGCCACCGCAGAAGATCAACGCCTGCTTCTACAGCACTGCCTGTTTAGCCCCGCCCACCGATTCACACATGTAGTGTAAATAACCAGAGGTCTACACAGAAACCAAATGATAAACTTTATTTTTAATGAAGTTGCAGACTGCTTCAGTAAGAACTTGGTCCTTTGTTCACTTTATTTTACTGTGGATTAGTTTACAAACAAGGCACAATTCGACGTAGGATTTTCAGAAAGATTAAAACTAAAAGACAATGCTGTGAGCCAATCATAGCAGTGGGCGTTTACTTTAGAGCAGGGTTCCTCAAATCTTACCCTGGAGGTCCAAAGCGCTGCAGAGTTTAGCTCCAACCCTGATCAAACTCACCTACCTGTGATTTTCTAATGATCCTGAAGACATTGATTAACATGCTCAGGTGTGTTTGATTAGGGTTAGAGCTAAACTCTGCAGGAAAGTGGATCTCGTGGGCCAGATTTGAGGATCCCTGCTTTAGAGTATACAATCTGCCACGGCTATTTAAAAAGAGTGTTCCAATGAGGGGGGTCAAAACAGGACAAAAAATAGCCTATTACTTCTAAATTATGATGTTTTTTATGTAAAAATCTTGATAGCATTATAAGTGTACTTCAGAGAACAGTACAAAATCAATTTTAAAAATGCAGTTCATGACCCCTTTAACTTTTGATGAGCACTGTAATCAGCACAGCTAAGAGAAACCTTCTACCCGCATGTACGGAATGAATGGGTGAATGATCTTAAAGTGGTCATGCCACATAATAATTCTTGTTTTGAGCCATCACAACACATGGAACTGGTACCAGCAACATGTTATACCACCATATCAAGAATGATAGCTTCAAGACGACAAAAAAATGAAAAGAAGTGAGCTGAATGATGCAGTAACCTGTCGAATGCCAACTGTATCCAGCTGCTGCGGGAGGGAATGTTTGCGTCCTCCTCGCGCAGGCTTTTCTGCCACATCACTTCCTGCATCACCGTTTTCCACGATAAGCTCATCGTCTTCACCAACAGACTCCAGGCGGCTTCCTCCACCTGATCATAATGACATCAAGACATTAACTTGAAATGTAAACACACACTTAATTCAGTCATTTATATTCATGGCGGGAGAAACTGATCTCCGTATGTCTAAATGTCTCTGCTGATTAACAAGCATAATCATAAAAAATTTAAACAATTTCAGTACACCCTGATCTGGTGCAGGAAATCTATCATAAAGAAATCAGAATTGGTGGATCCACCCTTGGCCATATGCCAATACAGTTTAATATCATTACAAAGTTTTCATTCTCAGCAGTGTTGTGACTTGATACAACAAAATTAATAAAATAGAGGAAATATTACAACTGTCAAAATATTTGGGGGAAAAAATCCTCTGCTCAATGTTCTGCCTACTCACAAGCCTTTTTCGAGAGGCAGTGATTTTTAGCGATGTTCCTGATAATGTGGACCAACGAATCATTCACAATTATACCAGGAATGTTTATTAAGAAAGTAAATAAAATTAATACAATTTATTTGAACTGAGAGAATAAAGAACACATTTCAAACTATTTTTATATTTGATGTCCTTGATGACCATATGTCATGAGACAAGAGAAGGAATTATCTACATTTGGAGCTTAAAATTTTTTTTTCTGGGTCATCCACATTCATTTTAACTATTTATCCATCTAGAAGGCGCAAATGATGCAATAACCATTAAGCTCAGAGCAAAAGGAGAACAGTTTTATCATGCTTTTATCAAGAAAAAGATTTTAATTACAGTCATAATATCCCACAAAGACAAAGTCTGTCTCTGTTACATTCTTCTATTTCCAAATGTCCTAAGACAGTCTGGATCGTTCCAGCCTGACCACTCAACTGAAGCTTCATTACGATGAACAGTGTGCAGTGAAGTGAGAAAGATTCAAAATCTTAAAGCCTCTCACTGGTCAAAATCCTCAGGGCTTCAGTCACAGATGAAGGAATTTGAGGTTATCTCAGTGTTAGTCGTTATATAAGAGCAGGAAACTTCATAACTACCCACATCATGCTGTATTGATGGCCCTGTTCTGACCACCATGCCGCCACTTGCACCACACTAGAAAGAAAGATTTGGAAAGCACCCAGTTTGACTAATACACATGATTCGTGTCTACAGGTTTCTCAGAAATGGCCCCCCATTAAAACTGTGTGGGAGAAAATGTTGTAATGCTAAATTATAACAATAAACCCTAGTGCCGGTCATAGCAAAAATAGCCTGCTCTGAATATAGACGATGTGGGGGAGCTGCGTATGTGTTTTCCAACAGATGTGCAACATCTCATGAATTTGTATATCTGAAATCAGTTCATTTTTTGGGTCCCAAGGCAAAGCCACAAGGGACCCTTATTTTCCCTGAACACATCTATTTAACTTAGCACATAACCTGGAGGGAGTAATTCAAATTTGTTGAGGCAACGTGGGTTCATTACAGCTTTTGGCTCATTACCATCAGGTTGTTGTCCTTCCTCCAAACTTTGTCAAAGTGTGCATTAATGAATAACAAAGGGAAGCAAGTCAGCGAATTCTTCAACATATTGCAGCTTATAATGGCGTTTGAGGGGCAATATGCATGTATGGTGCCCGAGAGATCTCAACACGCTGCAAATGAAAACACATGCAAGTAGAAATGGTGGTGGGGAGAAGTTACCGCTTTTATTCCAACAGAGGGTGAAATGTATAGGTGTGTTTGACTTGAAGCAGCACCACGCAGACCGATTGGCGTATGACATCCACGTACTGCGAGAGCGATTCGAAAGCATGCGGAGCTGTCTGCTCTCTGTAGCTCTCGCGGTGCTTTGATGACATCATTTAACGATCGGTCTGCACAGCGCCACTGTATTAGATGACGTCGTATACATTTCAAGCCAGTGTGAGAAAGCAAAACCATGGCGGAGGCATTCGAGAATTCTTTCTGCACCGTCACGTTTTGAATCCCAAGTGTGGAAACATTTTGGATTTTACACACTGCCGGGAAAACATGACTAAAACGATATGCAAAATAACATAGCATTTTATTTTGTTTCAGAAAGTATTTTTTCTACTCATTTTGTTGAACATTTGACTATTATATTCATATGCAAGTTCAGGGTTTTGGTACTTGAAAGTTTCATGGTTCAAGGTACTTTAAAATATACACTGTGTATGTGTATGCTCCTGAAATAAAAGTTAAGAAAGATGTGATGCATTGTTTTTGTTAATATGACTCATCATATACAGTCTCTTTAAGGGTATGATTAGGTATTTTCCATAGTCTAGTCTTTAATAAGCAAACAAAAATCACAATAAATTGTAATATCGAATCGCAATAATTATATAATCGCAATACTCAATTATCGCAATAGATATTGAATCGAGAATCAGGATACACAGGTATTGGGATTGTATTGAGTATTTGCAGTGTGTTTCTGTGATTGGTTGTGTTGTGAGTATTTACAGTGCGTTTCTGTGTTTGGTTGTGTTGTGAGTATTTACAGTGCGTTTCTGTGTTGTAGTGCGTTCTGTATTTGGTTGTGTTGTGAGTATTTGCAGCGCTTTTGCGCTTTTCTGTGCGTTTCTGTGTTTGGTTGTGTTGTGAGTATTTGCAGTGCATTTCTGTTTTGTAGTGCGTTTCTGTGTTTGGTTGTGTTGTGAGTATTTGCAGTGCATTTCTGTTTTGTAGTGCGTTTCTGTGTTTGGTTGTGTTGTGAGTATTTGCAG